TAAGAATACACATATGGTATAATCTCTTTTAAAATACGAAATAGTCACACCTTTATCTTTGGGGAAATTGCAATTTAGGACCTTGGAATTGTAAAACGCAGATAGGGACCCTTGACAACTTCACTTTGGGTTTTAACAACTTCATGACATATTATTGTTGTCAAACCCAAAGTGAAGTTGTCAAGGGTCCCTATCTGTGTTTTTGCAATTCCAAGGTCCTAAATTGCAATTTTCCCTTTATCTTTTCAATAGATTATTAGTTGTATTCCTCAATTATTTCACTAGTGTGATACAAAAATTAAAATTTCGAAGCCAACCTGTGCTACATACATTTTTAAATAAAATAAATAGCAGGACATGAAAAAATAGTTAATAAGTCTTATATTAAAAACTGAAAAAATATTACCGCAGAAGGCATTTCCCTTGCTTCCAGTCCCTGAAAAGACAGTCTGCCTCTGTCAGGGGATGAAGCAATAGCTGCAGCTGCAGCAGCATCAAAATGTTGTGCCGGGAAATCATAACCATCCAAACCAGTGTCAGCATGAGAACGCCTTCTCTGAAAAGGATAAGCATCCAAAGGACAATCTAGTTACTAAGGTTAATGATGATGACTTGGTTTCGTAACAATACACATGGTATAATCTCTTTTAAAATACGAAATAGTCACACGCCTATTTTTTCAATAGATTATTAGTTGTATTCTTCAATTATTTTACTAGTGGGATCCGAAAAATTAAAATTTCTGAAGCCAACCTGTGACGCATGCATTTTCAAATAAAATAAAAGGAAAACTAATCTAGCAGTCCTCATGGTTTCATTATGTTTTAAATTGGGTTTTTATGGTTTTTTTTTTCTTTTTTATTGAATCCTTAATCTTTACACAGTTAATAATGCCATTTATTGCTGTTAATAAAGTCAACCTCTCTCAGCTTTTCTCCCTCCTCCTCTCAGTCTACTTCCACTCTCGCACAACTATTATGATGTTGTTATCTTTCATTTCTCTTAAAGTTAGGTGTTCTGTGTAGAACATGATGCCTTCTGGGATGTTTGAATTATAACAATCAGATAGTGATAGCCATGAAGCTAGTTGCCCAGAGTTTGGAGAATTTTTCTACATCATGTTTAGTTAGAGTCTTGCTCTTTCTATGGTTTCTTGTATGAAACACTTTTGACGATTTGTGCTTATTTAGGATGATGGCGGTTGCAATAATTTGTTTCAAATCATAGCCCGACATGTGTCTATTTTTTTGGTCTTCGTGGTAGTATGGATTTATTTCTACATCTTAGAAATGCATTACTTGCCCCTTTTATTTTGGTTGAAGAATGAACACTTGAATTCCTTAAAAATAAGCCCATAAAAGTGATGGCCAAGCAAAGAAAAAGAACGATGCCGCCATGAATTTTGGGTGTCTTCTTGTTCTGCAACATTACATAAGTACTAGCAAAAGCAATAAAGGGAGGAAGAACGAGGGAAGAGGGAATTGATTGCACCTCTCTCATTCCCATTTTTTATTTTGAGAGGAAGTGGAAGTGAGAATTGGGGGTGGTGGAGAAGTTATAAGGAGGGAGAAAGAGCAGCGAGAGTGGAAGAGATAATTGCAGGCGGACAGTGGTGTGAGAGCAGAGGTAGATTGAGAGGAGGAGGAAGAAAGAGAGAAGCTAAAGGAAGTCAACTGAGGAAGAGGATGGGCCCAGATGCCACATCATCCATTCTCAATTAAACTAACAGCTTTATTAATAGTTAGGACTGGTATTATTGACGGTGCAAACATTAAGGATTCAATAAACAGAAAAAAATTACAACGACCCAATTCAAAACATGATAAAACTATAAGGACTGTTGGATCGGTTTTCTCTAAAATAAGTAGCATAGCATGAAAAAAAAAGGGGGTATTTTTAGTTCCTTATATTTGATCTTACTTTAATTTTAATAACAAAATTACAATGTCAAGGACAAAAATCTTTAAGCAGACTACCTAAAATCAAATTTAGCGGACCAAAAAACACACTGATTTTAAATTTAAGGAATTAAAAGCAATACAAGTCCAAGTAAAGATATTACTCTTGCAGTCCTTAATATATGACCTAATTAGAAGGTCGATTTTGATTCTAAATATAGAACCTATTTCTCATATTTACCAATTACTTCTTAAATTACCCTTATTAAATAATTAAATACCACAATAATACTTTTTTACTTATTAATAATACATCTATATACTTTATAAAGTGAGTGACTACTTATTATTCATTAATTCCACACATACATCAATTCTACCATTTTATATTTTTAATAAAATAATTTAAAACATTTTTTGAAATGTCAATTTTTTTGAAGAAGTTTTAATTGAGGGTATTTTGAGAAACATATGCCATATTTATAATTATTACCTAATTTAACTAATTTTTTTAATTTAATCAAAATAGTTAAATAGGTCATGTATTAAAGATCGGATAAGTATTACCCCATAAGCCATTTCCCTCGCTTCCAGTCCCTGTCGGCGTCTGCCACCGGATGGAGCAGCAGTTGCAGCTGCATCTGAATGCTGTGGTGGAAAAGGATAACCATCCAAACCAGCATTAGCATCAGAACGCCTTCTCTGAAAAGAATAAGCATCCAAAGAACAATCTAATTACTAAGGTTAATGACGACGACTTGGATTCGTAAGAATACACATATGGTATAATCTCTTTTAAAATACGAAATAGTCACACCTCTATTTTTTCAATAGATTATTAGTTGTATTCCTCAATTATTTCACTAGTATGATACGAAAAATTAAAATTTCTGAAGCCAACCTGTGATACATGCATTTTCATGAAAAAAAAGGGATATTTTTAGTTCCTTACATTTGATCTTATTTTAATTTTAATAACGAAAATACTGTCCCAAGGACAAAAATCTTTAAGCAGACTATCTAAAATCAAATTTAAAGGACCAAAAAACACACTAATGTTAAATTTAAGGAATTAAAAGCAATACAAGTCCAAGTAAAAATATTACTCCTCTGGCCTTTAATATAGAATTTAATTAGAAGGTTGATCTTAGTCTTAAATATAATATTTATTTTTTATATTTACCAATTCTTTTCTAAATTAACTTCATTAAATAATTAAATACCATAATAATACTTTTTACTCATTAATAATACATCTATATACTTTATGAAGTGAGTGACTACTTATTACTCATTAGTTCTACACATACATCAATTTTACCATTTTATATTTTTAATAAAATAATTTAAAACATTTTTTGAAATGTCAATTTTTTTGAAGAAGTTTTAACTGAAAGTATTTCAGAAAACATATGTCATATTTATAATTGTTATCTAACTGAACTAACCTTTTTAATTTAATCAAAATAATTAAATAGGTCCTGTATTAAAAACCGGAGTAGTGTTACCCCAGAAGGCATTTCCCTCACTCCCAGTCCCTGAAAAGACCGTCTGCCTCTGTCAGGGGATGAAGCAGCAGCAGCATCAGCATCAGCATCAGAATGCTGCGGTGGAAAAGAATAACCATCCAAACCAGCAGTAGCATTAGAACGCCTTCTCTGAAAAGAATAAGCATCCAAAGAACAATCTAATTACCAAGGTTAATGATGACGACTTAGTTTACATATATAAATCCTGGGGACTCACCTGGCCATCTCTATTCCTGTCCATTGACGCGGACCAACTCCTCATCCTTCCCTTTTCTTCCTCTGTGGAGTTTTGATACGCAGTTATCGCCACCTCCCTTTTCTATCTCTTCACATTTCAGCACCGTGGCCCTACAACTCCCCACACACACACACACAGGTATACGGGACACACATGTACGAGCCACGGACCAAATTTAAAAGCCGTTAATTAAGGAGAGTACTGCTTCGTGGTTTTCTACTTTAATCCTTTGCAGTCAGGTAAACGCAAGCCGAGAAACGAGTCAATTATGGTGCACAGGAGCAACACATGTGAACCTCTTTCTGTGATGACTTTCGCAATGGAATCCAATGCTTATTTACTTTTACACAATCAGGTGGGGATTTCATTATGGAAAAAACTCGCTGAGTCTTTGGTGAAAACCGAGTGCCCCTCAATTCTATATCAATTCTAGGCTTTTATAACATCCTAAATTTTATTTTAGAATTTATAAAAAAATAGTAAATAAGTAAATAACAATATATATAATATATAAAAATATAAAATATAATACTCTTTTGATCCTTAATATAAGACCTATTTAACTAATGTCATTAGATTAAATAAGTTAAATAAGTTAGTTAATTATAAAAATATATTATGATTGAATGAGTATCTAAAGGGATAATTTAAGAAAAATTGATAAATATGAAAAATAAATATTATATTTAAGACTAAAATCAACTCAACAATGTGGCTTTATATTAAGGACCGAAAGAATAATATTATTATTATAAGATAATATTACCTCTGGTCTTTAATATAAGACCCTGTTTGACTTTTGTTTTGGTCCTAAATATAAGATTCCAATATATTTTATTTTTAATATTTATACATTTTTTTTAAAGCAATCATTCTAATTTTAGCCAACACACTTAATTAGCAAGGATATTTTAAGAAAGACAATACCTATTTATTACAAATAACTAACTTAACTTATTTTCTTAATCTTCTCAAATTAAACAACTACCTATTTATTAACATGAACAAGTTCTACCCCAAAAAAAATGATTACTATGAACACAGGCATCAAGCAGTGGGAAAAGGAAATTTCTTGGTCGGCCACCGAAACATGTGGGCAAGTCGATTAATGATGAGTAACGCTATAAAAGAAATTACTAATCTGCAAACATGAATAATTAATAACGAGGGTTTGGCCAAAAAAAAAAAGAATAATTAATAACGAGGGGGGATCAGGATCGATGGAGGACATAAGGAGGGTTACAAAAGCTGAGCATGCAAACTTCTCTGATGAAGATAAGACAGAGCTGGAGAGTAAGTTCCAGTCAATGGACAAAGATGGAGATGGCAAAATCAGCATTCATGAGTTGAGGGAACATTCCAACCAATAACAGTTTCTTCAGCCTCCTCGATCGAAACGGCGATGGCTTACTGCAGTTTGAGGAGTTCTTAATTCTGAACTACATCAGTAAAAGCGGCAGGCCTTTTGTGCTGCCTGCAAAGATTTCATCCCTACTTCGTTCTTCATTTGCAGGCAGTGTCGTTTGAGCCCCAATAATAATAATACTACTAATAATACATCTTACGATCTGTGAATTAAGTGCTACCACGAGGGCAAAAAAAGTGATCACAACCACGATGAGTTTGACGATAATTGTACGCTTTTGCTCACTCTTCAACGCATGCTTTTATCTGCTGATCAACCTCGACAGGAACCCATGCATCCATCGGCATAATAGTGTTTGGTATAATTCGTGTTTGATTTTTTAATTGGTTTAAATTTGCCTATTTGTTGCCCTTAGTATTTAAAATTAATTTTTAGTTAAAAAATCTGTTATTTTTGACATATATCATATTTAAACCAATTAAAATTAAGGTAAATAATTTATTTAGATTGATTGATATATTATTCAAGATAGTTCTAGTAGCAGTTGCACATGTTAAGATTTTATCAAATGATAGTTCTACCTTATACATATAATTAATAATGATATTTTAGAAAAATAACACCTATTTACTTCAATCAACTAATTTAATTAATTTTTTTATTCTACTTAAATTAATCAATCAGTTTTTATTTTAAGGATCGAAGGTAGTAATATCTTTTGTTCATAAATCAAGCATTCAGAAATTGAAACTATTCCACTAAATTCATCGACTTTAGACTCAAATCCACCTTACCAAATGTCAGTATTTACTAAACTATGAGCAAGCAAGAACCCTTGAAGATTTGTTACAGACAATTAATGGCTCATTCATCTCGTGTAGCAGGATCCATTCCAGCTGAAGGGCTATCAGCAAAATATTCTTGGTGCCTTACATTTACTCCATACTGTTCACAAGAAATATTGAGGAATGGATGAGAATAATCGTGAATGTGTGCAGTTGATCACAAAATGACACCCAACGAACAAAAAAGTCTAGCTCAAGAAGCTGACAAAATTCCAAGTTGATGCAGGCATTCAACCGGCCAAAAACTCAAGTTTGGTTCAGTTCATTATAATTTCATTTGATTAAACAAGACAAGCTTGAATTTTTTTTTTTATTGCAAAAAGTTTGGGTATTACTGAAGTAGTAGTTGGCACAAGTCAGAGCCCCATGGCCCTCATAATGAGAAAAGTCAAAACTAAGTTCCCCATTTTACATGTAGAGATTAGTTCTTACCTCACGCAGGGCCTTTGATAGGTCCTCCATTGTCAGCGTTAGGCGCTTATCCTGTGCAAACAAGATTTACAAGACACTGACATACATATAATAAGAAATAAGAATAGCAAAGACAAAAAATACTGCAAGCATCAGTTGAGGACCTTCTGTTGCTTATCCTTTTTGTCCTTTGGAATTGTTGCCTGCCTTGCTTTGCAGTGCCTACAAGAGCAGGCAGTAGAAATTAAAATATGTTGACGTCATCAACCCAACACAAAAAGTTCAGTCATTAAATTACTTATAGCATAGCGACCAAAAAGACTACCTATAGCATGACTAGATCTCATAATGATTAAATCTCAAAAAACCAAAAATCGAGCTTGTAAACTAAGAAATAAACTGATTCTATTATGCACAAAACTTGTGGCCATAACAGAAATTAAAAGCATAAAAAAGAAAGAAATGGCTCAATAAGCATACTGTAGGGCGTCATTGGCAACTTCAGCTACAAACTTCTGGGTAGCAACAGCTACAAGTCTAGTTCTGCCAGAAAAAGAAAAAAAAAAGTCAACTAGACCAGACAACATATGCACAAGAAATGATGGGGCCCAAAGATCCAAATGAGTAACATATCATTCAACAATTTTCACTCTAAATAAAAGCAATTATGAGCCCCCTCACCCATCCAACTAGACTGTGCAACTTCAATAACCAATAAATGTTCGATTTTGGAGTATTTGATGCATTACTTTCTTTTACCATTAATAAATTTTCTATAAAAATTATGTTGATTTTGAATGTAACTCAACTTTCTGATACTTTAATATATATATTTCCTTTCTTCAATCTACAGTCTACATTATTCTGGAAATAAAAGTAAAAACGTCCTATTAGAATTAAAAGTACGAAGGAAAGAGATACGACTAATAAGATTAGCAACGGGTCATTGATCCAAAATTACACTATATTTGAACTTAGATGCACACATTTCAGCGAGCCAAATCAGTTCACATCCCAGAAACAGATGGCAGAGCACTCTCTTTGTGAGAAAAGAATGCTCAAATAAACAATATCTAAATGGAGTGAACAAGATGATTGACTTCCCCAAAAAAAAGAAAAGAAGTACCTACAATCGAACATCAGGACATTGAAAGCCACTCTTAGCTAAGTAATGCTCCACCAATTCATCTGGTATCTATCAGAGATATAAAAATAAAAGAGAAAGGAGTTAGCGATGGGCTTTAGATGTTCTAATGAATATAAAGCAAGCTAAGGAAGTTTTCTCAGGTCATTGATAGTGAAAGAAACTTACTGTAGGAGTGTAATCCATTAAAGAAGCTAGAAATTCTGATAGTGCAGCATCGTCATCATGCCTGCCTTCACTTGATTGTGGGTTATGGTTCATCTTTCTCAATCCTCTTTAAAGGCTTGTTCAAGGCTGTCAACCAATATTTATGTATGTTCCACAGAGTCAATAGCAGAATTGTCGGAATTTTGTTTTGATCAGCCATAAACCATGTATGATGAACACAAAAAATATATAATGCCAAAGATATCTCATCAATGAGAACCATAGAAAGCTATTTAAAATTAATATCAAAAGTAGCTTTATATCATTAATGCATAACTCCTTCAAGCAACAAACAAGTCTGTTTACTATCAGATCTCAAACATTTTGAGCTTACAACAAACTTTAGTTAAAGAATTTCACACACAGGTCCACACTAAAAATACCATAGAAAAATAGAAATCAAGACAAATAACAAGTTAAATAAAAGAAAATCAAACTTGCAAAAATTAATTAAGGGATTGAAAAATATAAGATAGCAAAAAAGCTACCTACTTTCCAATCTAAACGGTTAAGAATGAAATGATAAATTCTAGAATTAAAGGCTTACACGAAAGCAAGATAATATACTTGATGATATCAGAAATTCTTATTTAGGTAGAGGCCTCTAGTCTTTCAAATATATCAGACCTTGAATGGCCATAACACTGATATCATTAGTTTTGCTATTTTAACATTTCATTTGTTCCTTCTATGTCACTAAAACAACAGATTCTGGCATATAACCATAGGCGGGCCTAGATTACAATCAGGGCATCTGTCCCTACTGAAGTATTTTAAATATGGATAGCTGATATCAGAACCTTTTAATTTTTGTTCCAGATACTTTAACGAAGATGCCTTAGCGAGCCAATAGATTCAGGCAACTCCTCCAAGCCACTGAAGAATGGCTATAACAGCACTCGCAATTTATGTTCTTCCAATTTCATCTTGAAATTTATAATCATGAAAAGTGTTGCTAAAGTGAGTAAGGTGGGCAATTGATAGTTTCTGTCAATAGCTTCTAAATTCACAGTCCAATAAGCAGCAGGAAATGATTTAGATTCAATCTTCTGAATTGCCAGACACAAATCGACCCAAGTCATTTACCAGATCATGCATCACAACTACCATGAGAATTTTCTAATTTGATGATTATAAAAAGAGATTGATAAGCAGAACGCCATTACACAAAAAATCCAACATTGCACAGCAACACAGTCCAAAGTATATAAGTCGAGAATAATCAGAATAAAGAGGGCAGGAATATGATAGCCAATTACACACCATTCAACCAAAATACTAGTAATCAAAGTTAAAAATTTTAAACTCAATCTGTAAATATTCCCAGATTCAAAAGCGTCAGTATTCAAACGATTAAACAACTTGATTCAAAGCCAAATTAAAAGGAAAAATCTAAAACAAATAAAGAAACGGCGCGAAGGCATCCGACACATGTATGAAACCCACGCAGAGAACAGATGACGCGGGGAACAAATTCGAGTCTAGATTGAACAAATCAATCTTACAAGAGGGAGAAGACAAACCCCTAATGTTCGAACCTTCTTCAGTCCTTCCCCGGGAACAACCACGCAGGGCCGACAGCGGTGGACGGCAAGCTCGACCGGGTGTGCAATGCTTGTTCGTCGACGGAGAAAAATGGATCTGCTTCTTATGCCAGATGAGCGAGACTATGTTCAATAGAAGTCCTCGTGGCTTGGTAAATATTTTCTAGGAAAATTTTATGTGAAGTATCCTCCGATTTTTAATATAAGACCTATTTAACTAATTTGATTATATTAAAGAAGTTAGGTAAGTTAGTTAATTATAAGAAATGTGATATATTTTTTTTAAAATACCATAATCATCTTTCTTAATACCTCCTCTTCCTCTTTTACTTGATTATAGTTGAGAAAGTATCAATAGAGGTAATTTAGAGAAAATTGATAAATATGATAAATGAGTCTTATATTTAGGACCAAAACTAACTCAACAATTGGGTCCTATATTAAGGACCGGAGAAGTATCATTAACTTTTTTTAATTACGTATTCTATTTTTAAAATATTATTCTTAAATTATAAATTTATATGAAAAATGCTGGTAAAAAAAATTTATATGAAAAATACTGCCTCCAGTTCTTAATATAAAATCTCATTTAATTTTTATTTTGGTCTTAAATATAAGACCCCAATCCACTTTATCTATCATATTTATACATTTTTTTAAAGTAGTCCTTTTAACAATAGTTGTTCTAACCAATACCCTTGATTAATAAGGATATTTTAGGAAAGACAACACCTATTTAGGACAAATAATTAATTCAATTTATTTTTTTATTCTTCTTAAATTAGTCAACTAGCTTTTATAATTAGAACAGATGTAGTATAAGACAAATGATTATATATATGACCGATGAATTCAATATAAGATCCTAATGCTACTGTTCCCCAGCAATAATGATTATAATTAATATCCAGACAAAAATGATAATAATTAATAATAGATTATAATTATGGAAAATATTTGGCCAAAAAATCATATAGGTGACTAGAAAAACAACTCTCGCGAGGCAGGAGAATTATTAAGATTTTGAAGAGGAAATGCAATTCTTTGCTCTTGTGATTTTCATAATTTATTCCTGTCATTAATAATCAAATTTGGCTTCTAAATGTACCTTCCCATCATATGTGAAATCAAGACTAATGGCCCATTTGGTTCCCAAATCATGGGTTTGTATTATCTTCAATCTTTAATATAAAAATTAATTAACTAATTTGAGTATATTAAAAATTTGTAATAGATATATATTATTTTTTTAAAAATATCTTTAATAATTAACTGTATTACTTAGAATTACTGTTATTATATGAATTTTATATAAATATGACAAAATAAATTAGGATTTTATATTTCAAATTAAATTAAATATTAAATTAGTTTTTATATTAAGTACATAATAATATATCGAAAAGCCAGATCATTTTCATGCATCCTCGTAATCATGCTAAAAGAGTCTGGCTGCCCTCTCCGGTTTTAAACGAACACTGGTGGTTTTTATCATGCAAGCCTAATTGGCCCATTCAATCCCATTTCCCTTTATCCAGGACAAAACAGAACTACTCCTCCGGTCCTTAATATAAGACCCATTTAACTAATTTGATTAGATTAAGGAAGTTAGGTAAGTTAGTTAATTATAAGAAAAGTGACACATTTTTCCTAAAACACCATAATCATCTTCTTAATACTCCTCTCTCTCTTCTACTTGATTATAGTTGAGGAATATCTATAGGGGTAATTTAGAGAAAATTGATAAATATGAGAAATGAGTCTTATATTTATATTTAGGACCAAAACTAACTCATTAATTGGGTCCTATATTAAGGACTGGAAGAATATTAAACACTAAGCATTAAGCGTTGAACAGAAAAAAGAAAAAAACCTAAACTTGCCGTTTATCTATCACCATTATCATACGAACGCGCCAAGGAGTCAAAGCCACCAAGCCCCACTTCATAATTCACGCGAAAAAAAATCCGGAGGGAAATACAGTTCTTAACCTTTTTTTTTTTTTTTTACCTCGGACTTCGAGTTTAACCAGTTTGAGCCAAAACGACAACTGACTTGACCATACAAATCGAGGAAGAAATCGCATCATAGCTTGGCATCTCTCTTTGCCGCCGCCTCTGGCGAACGTTGTTCTTCTGAACTCTGTTACTCTGACACAAGCAACGGAAGCTTCCTAGTCAGCCGCGGCACAACAATGGCTTCCTCGGTCTTTTCTCTGACCTCCACTTCTTTTCCCCACAGCAAGGTTAGTTTGACTCCTTTCCATTTTCCTGATTCCCTTGAATGCAACATGTGGTTTTCATTTCACCTGGTTTCTTGCTGGCTGGATTCTTCCTTTCCGTGTTGAAATTGGTTAACTATGCTCAAACTCATCTCTGTCTTGATTTTCTGTCCTTCAGAAAGATTTGGGTCTCTACGCTTTCGCTTCGACGTCGCCTCTTTCAGCTCGAAAATGTGAGAGAGCTGTCTCAAGGAGAATTTCTTGTTCGGTTGTAGCTCCTCAGCAATCGGAACGCAAATCTTCCGCCACTGGATCAGTTCTGTTGCTTCGTTATCGCTTGTGCTTTTGGATTTATGTTTTTCTGAACCCTAGTTTGTAACTTGTTGTGGCTGGAATGACCGATTGCAGGTCAAGACAGCAATGACGATGACAGAGAAGATTTTGGCTAGGGCGTCTGAGAAGCCCCAGTTGAGCCCAGGGGACAATGTTTGGGTTAATGTTGATATTTTGATGACCCATGACGTATGCGGTCCTGGTTCTATCGGAATTTTCCAGAAAGAATTCGGTGAGAATGCAAAGGTAATTATTATCTGTTACCCAATACCTCTGATTGATAATTTGTTTCTAATGATTATAAACTAAACCGAGATGTTACGTTCGATAAATATTAGAATTGCTGTGCAGTGATATGTGTTTTTCACTGCCACTGAAATTAAAGAGCTATTTGGGGTTGGATGAATTTCTTATATTTGACTTAGAAAATATGAAGAGAGCCAAATATAGTAATTGAAGCGTTTCAAAAACAGAAATTTTATACCTGGCATTTAGCGCAAGATTTGTCATTAAAGGTTTCATCTACCGCAACATAACTATTCAGCTGTTCATTATTTAAAAGAAATAAAATTGGAGCAATAAATTTTCTTCTACAGAAGATGGAAGCAATACATTTTTTGCTTGAGGTTTTTAGTCAAATTATTTTGCTTATGCTTATATGAACGATCAAAAAGTGTTCTAATGCTTATATGATTCCTGACTGGATTTTGTTTTGCAATACAAGGTTTGGGACCGTGAAAAGCTGGTTATAATTCCTGATCATTACATCTTCACAAGCGATGAACGTGCCAATCGCAATGTGGACATTTTAAGGGAATTCTGCCAGGAGCAAAACATCAAGTACTTTTATGATATTAAAGATTTGAGTAATTTTAAGGTATGCTGTTATTTTCTTCGATGTCAATTTGTTATTTTGGATTCTGTAAAGGCACATGGTAAATTCTTATAGCGAGGGAATTGAATGTGGGCATATAATTATGCAGGCAAACCCAGATTACAAGGGTGTGTGCCATGTTGCTCTTGCTCAGGAAGGCCATTGCAGGCCGGGAGAGGTTTGCTTGATCTACAATTAAACAGCTGGTGCTTAACAGCATTGTGGTCCACTCTTTGTTGAACTTATTCTTTTCCCGCAGGTTCTTCTGGGTACCGATTCTCACACTTGTACCGCTGGAGCATTTGGTCAGTTTGCTACGGGCATTGGTAATACTGATGCAGGTTTTGTACTGGGGACAGGGAAGCTTCTGCTCAAGGTCAGTCGGTTTTTCATTGTGGTCTATATGATGCTTTTGCTATTTTTAAATACTCACGATATGACGTCTCATTCATCTTTACTACGAAAAACTAGAGCTTAGTGCGCTAACTGTAGCTTTTCTTGAATCAAGGCATATCTTGGGTGAAGTATAATCCTCTCTGAATTTGAATCATTGCATTTATTAGGTAGTTGATTTTAGACTCGAATGTGGTTGGTTTTGCTTCTACTTTGCTCTCATTAGGTTGGAGGATGGTGGCTTTTATAATTTTTTTTTCTTGGCTTTTCCTTTCCTTTTTACTATCTTTAGTATTCTTATGTTCTAGACCAACTTATTATAGCCATCTTTTGTTGGTTGCCTCCCCATTTTACTGGGATACCTTCAGATGTAATGCCCTTTTCATGCCTGTATAATAAATTTTATAATTGCAGGTGCCTCCAACTCTGAGATTTGTATTGGATGGAGAAATGCCGCCTTATTTGCTTGCAAAGGATTTAATATTGCAAGTAAGTTTGCCTAAATATTGGCTTTTCAATTCTATCAGATTTATCATTGACATTCATATGGTAGCTGACTGAGGTATGTCTTATTAGTTTTGTTTCTACTTCCTAAATATATACCATTGCATCCTTGCTTGTATCAATGTTGTAATCTTGCAGATTATTGGTGAAATAACTATGGCTGGTGCGACATATAAGGCTATGGAGTTTGTTGGCACAACTGTTGAGAGTCTTAATGTGAGTATATCCTACCAAGATATTATGCTAGAAAACATTGTGCCATCCTAAATATTTCTTTAGTCTCTGAACTTCATTTATGATGATTATTTATGTTGCTTTGGTAACATTCTGTGGTGAGTAGATGGAAGAACGAATGACATTGTGCAACATGGTTGTTGAAGCTGGTGGAAAGAATGGTGTTGTTCCGGCTGATAGCACGACATATAAGTATCTTGAGGTTTGTGCAACTGATACATTCAAAATTGATGTTGGAAGTTGTGAAATCTTTCCAGATTATGTTTGTTTACTGTAATGATTTTATTCTGCTGTTAAGCATTTTTTAGTTAGTCAACTCTATCCTCTCCCTTCTAATCCTTCCGTGTATATCACAAAGTAGGTAGGTTATTTCAGAACATTTGATTCATGATTCCTTGGATTGAGCAGCTGATTTTTTAGCCATCGTCCTTTTCTGCCTTCAAGTAATAATTTTCAGAGCTGATAACTCTGGAAATCTTCATATGTGTTGCCTTCCATGTTATATGTATATGTTTTGTGTTTTGCATGTTTGTTTGAATAATTGTAATATGTGACGCTTTGGCTGAATCAATTCAGTGAGGCTTAGCATCATTGGGAGATTTTTGTTTTTGCCTAAGATGGGTGGCTGCGTGTGATTTCTTCATGTGTGATGGCTTGTTTTTAATATGGGATTGTCTCATGCCTAACAAGGGGGTTTTAATGTTGTAATCATTTCTTGTGCAGGGCAAGACATCTGTTGCATATGAACCACTTTATAGTGACAACCAAGCTAGGTAGTTATAGTCCTTTATTGGGCTTTTTTTCTTTTTCCATATATTTAGTATTGGCACCTAGAAATGCTCGTATCTATTTCAATATAACACCTAGAATTATAAGCACGCTATCTGAGGCAATAGAGGTCCGTTCTCTGGGCAACTTAGTCTTACCAACAAAATTTGAACGTCACTTTCATTGTAAATGGGAGAAAACTCAATCATATTATGAATCGACTGTTACTAATACTTGGTTTTATATGTTCTCTTTATTGGCATCCAGGTTTCTTGCCGACTATAGATTTGATGTCTCGAAACTGGAGCCGCTGGTGGCCAAGGTGAGTAATTTGATTTGATTGTGGCGAGGTTTTATGTGTAAATCTGCCGGGAATACTTTTTTTTTTTTTAATCTGCTGCTGTTAGTTTTTATGGCTTATATGATCCTTCGGTTTTCACAGCCCCATTCTCCTGATAACCGTGCTTTGGCAAGAGAATGCAAGGATGTAAAAATTGACAGAGTATATATAGGATCTTGCACAGGTGGTAAGACGGAGGATTTCATGGCTGCAGCAAAAGTTTTTCTAGCTTCAGTAAGCATTATATGCTCCTGTTGCCAATTTTGTGATATATGCTTGCCAATTTTGTGATATATGCGCTCCAATAATTTAAAATCTCATATGCTGAACATTATAAAATTGTATTTGATTTTAATTTTTATGGCTTGTAATTGATGGCTTTTCTGGATAACCGATCTTTCTGCTAAACGACGGGCTGTTAGTGCTGTGTGATAAACAGGCGTCTTAGAATGTGCATGCCTGATTTGCATTTTTCTTATGGTATTGTATATTGCATTGCAGCATATATTACATCTCATATGGATTTAAGTAAGCTACTTTATGAAATGTTTGTATCAATGTCTCCAATCAATTTTGTGAAATATGTTTTTAATGTAACTAGACATGTTTTCTTGTGCATAGCACAAAACTGGAAAAACGAGTCACGCTTTTCATGACTTACGAATAGTGCAACTTGATATAGATTGTAGCATTAATGATTACCTGTAGAAAGGATCACATAATGCCAAAACACAAAGCACCGGTGGTGAGCCATCTTTTTAAAAAATTTACTGTTCTGTTGCCAATTCATGGTGATCTGCTTCCTGTAGGATCAGAGTCATTTTATTTTGGGTTCTATCTTGGAAGGTGTGATATTTTTTTTTACTCTGCTGAAGAGCTTGATGTGCATCTGCAGGGTAAAAAAGTAAAAGTTCCGACATTTCTTGTACCTGCAACCCAGAAGGTATGAGAAGTTTCCCATATTTAGTTTCAGGGGCTTTGCAGCTTTAAATTCCCATAGGAAGCGATTATAGATAATTGTGGAGCTGGGATCCTGTCTAATAAAAGCAGTGTTGCGGTGAGGGGAGGGAGAGAGAGATATGTCGAAGACTCACCTATCGGTGTGGGTTTACTCTTATCTCTCCTCTCTGCTCCACTGGGGAGCATCCACTTGGATGGTTGTGACATGGCGTATCTATTTGTGGATCTGCAGGTGTGGATGGACTTGTATAGCATTCCGGTCCCCGGATCTGGTGGTAAAACTTGCTCCCAGATTTTCGAAGAAGCTGGGTGTGACACACCTGCAAGTCCTAGCTGTGGTGCTTGTTTGGGTGGCCCAAAAGATACCTATGCCCGATTAAATGAACCTCAGGCAAGTTCCTCTGTTTCTGTTTGGAACATCTAGGACCACGTAGGATTTGGTCCATCCTCCAACATTAACTTCTCTGTAACGAACTAAAGTGACCTACGACATCAGCATTGGTCTTTGAGTAAATATGTTCAAAGATCAATGCCAATATCGCGAATGTGCCACCATTAATGTCTTGAGAAATGGAATTTGATAATTTTGAAGCAACCATTTGATTTACTGTATAATCTATACCCGGCAACTGCAGTTGATTGTCATTTTCATGCTTTCTAAAAATTGACTGGAAATTGAACCCATTTATTATCATCTGTTTTTGCAGGTTTGTGTTTCGACTACAAACCGGAACTTCCCTGGGCGTATGGGACACAAAGAAGGTCAGATATATTTGGCATCTCCGTATACTGCAGCTGCCTCCGCGTTGACCGGTTTTGTCACTGACCCAAGGGAGTTTTTGCAGTAAATTATTGTTATATCAATAATATTCTTGTAAAGTACGCCTTGGTCAGTTTTGTATTCTCTAACGTTAAAGACATTATTGATGTTACTTGATGACCCTTTAGTTTGAGGTAATCGTTCATGGTTGTTGTTGAGAGAACGGATGGAGATGTTATTTATGCATAGAATTTCTTGCTGCTCTGTATGGTGCCTTTTCGAGAACAAAGCTTAAGGTGGCATGAACAGTGAGGAGCATCCTTAAACTAGTTTTCTGCATGTTAAATGGAAACAGTCAAGTAGGGTGGTGTTTTGAGATATAGGGGTTTGGTATAATAGTACTCCTCCGGTCCTTAATATAAGACCTATTTAACTAATTTGATTAGATTAAAGAAGTTAGGTAAGTTAGTTAATTATAAGAAAAGTAATACATTTTTTCTAAAACACCATAATCATCTTTCTTAATACTTCCTTTTCTTTTCCTACCTAATTATGGTTGAAGGGGTATTTACAGGGATAATTTAGAAAAAAATTAAAAAATATAAAAAATAAGTCTTTTATTTAGGAACAAAACTAACTTAAGAATTAGGTCCTATATTAAACATCAGAAGAGTAGTATTTTATTAGATATATATAATCATGATGTATATTTTATTATGATGATGTAATGGAATTTTACCCAAAAAATAATGACCTTTTATTCAAACTGTTTTCTCGTCACGCAAGGATTCCTCATCTAAGCGAAATCTTTCCGTGTTGACGAGGTTTGAAGACATTGTTTACTCTTGTTTTTTCGTTCTTTTTTTTAATTTGGTAAGCGAAATCTATTTTCCAAAAACGAAAAGCGTTGATCACAAAATTGAATTAATCGCGGCCATCTTCATTGCTCGCTTTGCGTCACGGAGCCACTTTCTTACTGTGGGTCTCGTGGCAACCAGTGGCGCCACATTGATTCAGTGAACTGAAAAACCGGACACGTAATTCAATCTCCGATCTTGGGTGAATTGTGGTTGAATTGGTCATAAACAAATGAATACATTTTAAATAATAAAAATAATATATAATTAAAAAGGTGACATCTGTCAATACTCCTGTCTTCATGCAAGATTTATATGCTTGTTATATAACTTAGAATACATACGTATAAGTATGTTAGCATGTTTCCGACATATTTGTTAAATTTTCTTCCTTTCTTTGTACTTATTTAATACTCCTCTGATTCTTATTATAAGCTTCATATAACTAATTTAAAGATGACGAACAATTAGTTAAAAGTAATAAATATATTATAAATATAGTTTTGTTTTTAAACATGTCCTTATAATAAATGATAAAAAGGATGAAAAAGAATGTATGAGAAATTTGATAAGAGAATATGACAAATGAGAGAGAATAAATAATTAAGAGTAAAATTAAAAAAAACAAATCCCTAATTAAAACTTATCAAAAGGACTACACCTTTCTCTAAATTTGAATGTTATGAATAAGTGATCTTCATTCAATGCTTATCACAATGATGAGCACTATGTACTTATCACTATAATACAATCTAAATAATTTAAAATCTAATATGGATAGTTTAGATTTAAAATTTTTAATATACAATTTTTTTAATGATAAATCTATTTTTTAAAGATATGTTAGTTATGATACTCCTCCGGTCCTTATTATAAGACCCCATTTGACTTTTTATTTGGTCCTAATTATAAGACCCAAATCCATTTTGTCTCTTATTTATGCATTTTTTTCCAAGATAATCCTTCTAATAATGATAGTTTTAGCCAATATACTTAATTAGCAAGGATATTTTAGGAATGACAACACTTATTTATTATAAATAACCAACTTAACTTACTTCCTTACTCTCCTCAAATAAGTCAATTGGGTCTTATAATTAGGACCGAGGTATTATTTTTATTTTAAATTCTGTATCTATTAAAACAAAAAGTTGATTAAAATATATAAAAAAAATTTAAATTCAATCTGAACTATCTAATGTCGATTTGGATGGTCTAAATTGTGATAAGCATGGAATGTGCTTCTCATAAATAAGAGAGGAGAGAGTAATAAGCACTAAGCATAAATTACAACTTAAAAAATAGAAAAAATAGAAAACAATTAAATGACTGGTTCAATCAGTCAAGCCAGTCCCACCTTACTCCACATGGTCATGTTGATGAGAGTTGCTCTCTGCAATTAACATGGTTCCAACCGACTTTCCAGTGGCTTCCTCATAGGCGAAGCAAGTTTTGATTGGCACAGGTTCATATATTCCTGAGTATAGGCAGGGTTGTTGTGCACCATCGTTCTGCCACAGAACGAAAACGCAAGTGAGTGTTGAGTAATAAACAGGCCTGAACTTGAGTTCCATCGTTCCCCTTTTAGTACGAGAAGAACAACGCAAGAAACGGCCTGAACTTCAGGTAGCACATGGCGACTTTGAGTTCCATCGTGGCATTTAATCACACATGTTGTCCATAAATTCAAGTTCGTGGGCGTTCATTGGGATCACTACAGCCTTGAACGAGTTATGAATCCCTCTTGCGTGGATCTTCCTACTTCTTGCACGAGTTTTCTTTGTCCTTTTCATTTCGAGTGTGGGTTCGTGTCTGTGCTCTGGTTCCTGTATTAGTTATGTTTTAAGTAATGCAGTTGACCTTTCATCAGAAAAAGAAAAAGGAGTACACCAAAAGAGATAGGACACATGCAAATTTTGACTTTTCAGAGGCATTACAGATACGCATTTCACTATTACACTGAAGGGCTGCTCATAATTGAAAAGACCATAGGCTGCTACATTCCTAGGAAAGTGACACGAAATATCCTCATGCTCTTTACTAGATGTTAGGATTTCTCTGTTTTTGACCGGCTTCCTCTGTTCTCAGCTATCAAAACGAACTTACATCTCCTAGATCATCAAATCAAATCGAACTCCCACTAATCCCTGTATTGCAATCATGGCTTCCCTTGTCTGGGCTTTCACCCCTCCAACATCACTCATCAATGGCAAGGTTACTCCCTTATCTCTGCAAACCTGATCTCTTAACATTTTAGAATCATTACATTTCACTAACCCCAGTTTGTGGTTCTGATATTTTTGTCTCAGAAAGAATTGAGTCTCTCTTGTTTTCCTTCATCATCATCTACTGTGGAGAAGAAACGCAAGGAAACCATCTCGAAGAAGATTGTTTCTGTGGCGGCACCACAACAGTATGAGCGCAAGCCCTCCACCACCGGCTCAGTTGGCTCCAACTCTTTCACTCTGTTTGCTTCCCTATATCTCCATGGATCAGCTATAATTAAGTTTCAGTAGTAACAGAGGGTTTTGCTTCACTACAGGCCAAGAATCCAATGACCATGACAGAGAAGATACTGGCTAGAGCTTCGGAGAAATGTGATGTTAAGCCAGGGGACAACGTGTGGGTTAATGCTGATGTTTTAATGATCAACGATATTACTTGTCCTGGCATAGCTGCCACCTTCAAAAAAGAGTTTGGCCCGAATGCCAAGGTACTGTTCTGCCAACTTTGTTATTTGTTTTATGAAGAATCAAGATCTACTCTTGATATGGTCAGGTTTGGAGTTTTATTAAGTTCCCTGTTAAATTTAACTTAATTATGCAGAGAAAGTTTCAGAGCGTATAGTATATGGAAAATACTTAACGTCTTATACCAAAAAAAATACTTAACTCAAGTTACTTATATCCATTATGTCAAATTTTTTAGTCACAAATAGCCATATTCATGTATTTTATTTTTTTTTCTATGCAGGTTTATAATTAAACGCTAATATTTAAAAAATAGAATACATGACCATATATAATTAGAAAACTTAACATAATAAATATAAAAAATTTGATTTAAGTATGGTCCATAGTGTACCCACCTTGTGCGTGTTAATTAACTGGGAAAGAACATATTTTTCGTTTCGTTTTCTTTTTGTTTTAGTGTAATATTATTTAGTCTGTGGTGTTGAAGCTTCTTTATAGCCAGAATTACCAAATAACCCTGAAAAATTTTATCTATTCATGTTAGTCCCTTTGTAGTTTGTAACATAGCATGATAGCCACGAGATCAAGTCAGGCCACATTGGCTGGGAAGTCAGGGAACACTATTATCTTGTAGTATGGTCATGTAGATTTTTTTGGAATTCTACTAGCATGTAAAATTTTACAAGATTTCACCATTTAATCATTTACCTAAAAAAATCATTTTGGGAACCGAACCCTCTAAAAATCTACCAATTCAAGCTTGATATTTGATCTCTCAACAACTCTATTATAGCAAGGATTACGTCTGTTCATGCATGTTCAATGAAAAGTAATTTTGTTTATTAACTTGTGTTGCTGTTTTGAGAATGAAGGTTTGGGACCGTGAAAAGATAGTAATTATCCCTGATCACTACATATTCACAAATGATGAAAGAGCTCATCGAAATGTGGACACTGCCAGAAACTTCAGCTTGGAGCAAAACATTAAGTACTTTTATGACATTACTGATCGCAGCAATTTTAGGGTATGATCTTCACCCCCATTTCTCTTTGCCTTTGGACTGCATGTTCGATTGAGTTTTTTCTTTCTTTCTTCTTCATTATGTGAAGTATATTAAGAATCATTCATTGATTAAATAAAATATTGAATGAGATATCAACCGGCAGGTTACTTGGGACCATTAATTTTGATTAATCTCAACCAATCCTTTTTCTTCATGCTTAAAGCCATACATTAATAAAATAAAGTAACAAACTAATATTGAAACTGAAGCAGGAAAAGTTTGCTATCTGCTCCTAATTTATGAAATAAAATTTAAATGTAAGATCGTATGAGTGTGTAAATAAACAATAAGTCACGTTGCGTAGGACAATGGCCTGATGAAATAATTATTCATCGATATATTAATTTATTTTTCTTAGTGTGACTGCTCAAGTTGAAGTGGATGTCAGATCCCGAGAGAAAACTATGACGTTGGTATGAAGTGGCTATTCATTTATAAGAATCTTATATTTGGCTGGAACTTCCATTTCCTTTTTTCTCTTATCAATGTTTAAGATATGATATAATAAGCCAATCGTTATCTGGTTCTTAGAGATGTCATTGCTCATTCTTTTGTTACTTTCTGTCCTTCGCGAGGATATATATATATATATATATATATATATATATATATATAAATCAGCAATCAGTA